TGTACTATCTCTGATAAAACAGGAAAGATAGGGCTCCGCAGGTGAGATCCTTCCCATGCTGTCTCACCACCTTACATGTGTGAGGGCATGGAAGGGTTCAAGGTCCAGCCTGAGTATTTGGGCGTCTTTGCGAGCATGACTGTAGAACACAGAACCTCTCTCCAAAGGCTTTATTGATGCTCTTCTCTGTTGAAGATGGCCAAGGTGAGCTACCGGTGCTTTTGTCACCAATTTCTGTGCTACAGTTGCGTGAAGTGATCTACTAACAGGCTTTCCGTTGACTTTGGGCTTCGCTTTGGATGAGACTCTGCGGGTTTGGGGCATGTGGCCAACCTGTGGCTCTTGTTTCAGTGGAACTCGGTGTTGGACTACATCCCTTAGCAAGCCTTTTTGGGTGAATTGAATCCCTGGCTGCAGGTGATGAGGAACCAAGGGAGATAGCTAAAATGGATATCTCTTATTTTTCCTGGGACTTGGTTACATGCCCAGCTTGGTCCTGCAGCGTGCAGAAGCAGCAGGAGCCCTGGAAAGCCAAAGACAGCCTCGTGGTGTGAGCCAGCGCAGCCCCAGCCGTCGGCAGCAGCTTGGCCATTGCCATCCCTGGTATGTGCTTGTCAGGGCGATGCAAAGGGCCCGCTTGAACCCAGGTGGCTGAATTTGGCTCTCATAGCAGTGAAGGGAAAACCCGACATGCTCCTCAAGCCGTAGAGCCTTCAAAACACTGACAGCAAGGGAACAGATCTTCCTCACAGTTTTCATTTTTAAAAGCCAGCTGCCTCCAGTTCTGTCTGTGCTTCGTGGTATACGCTTCTTGAACATGAAGTACTTACCCCTGTTTGAAGCCCTCCTCCCTCTCTGATTGTTTGCCGAAAGGAAGAGTAGGTAAACGTTGAATTCAGTAGGAAAATTACTGCAAGGGCTTGGCCTTAGACTTTCCCACAATTTGTGTTATGGTGCAGCCTCTGACAAGCCAGAGGCACACAGTGTTGGTTTTGTCCTGTGGTTCTTTTCCTCTACAGATGGCGAAGGTGAAAACTTTCTCCTCCTGACCCAGTGCCTCGGGTAAATAAACTGTAAATAGCTTGGGGGAGCAGGCTGGGGATGTGAAGGAATTAAAAAGGGTTATTTTTATTTTTTTCCTTTTTGGGGGGAGGAAAAGAGGAGGGTAACCATCAAAGCCAGCTCCCTCTTGCAAACATAGTTTGAGGAGACATTATCAGGCTAAAAATATGAGCAGGCTGTAAAAGGAGCAGTTTTCCTTGTATGCTGCTACTCACATGTTCATTAAAACAGTAGGCGCTTAATGTTGCACTTACTTTTCCACTCCTCATGGCACTTGAGTATTTTTGAGAGGGGGTGCTTTGCTGAGCATGGACAATGAGGACTTGTGTCCGTGGCAAGATTATTGGTCAAAGCCAAAGTAAATATTGAAATGGTTATAGTTATGCTGACATAAGTCCCTATATGAACATTCTGACTCAAATTTTTCTAAAATTTAACTTCTTTTTATTGGGAATAAGTTTAGATCTGAGTGGAAAAAGCTGCCATGTTACTGCAGTAGGAGTGCCCGTCTGGAGGTCTGTTCCAGTTTAATTTATTAAACTTTGTTTTCTGAAAAGGGTGGCAGGAATTTAATTTTTTTTTTCCCTTGTCACTCCATCAGTCTTTCCTGATAGTGTTGCACAGGCTCTACGTTGTAAATTTTGCTTGTAATGGGGAATATCCTGACGTGCCTCTTTATGCCTTGAGGATCTCTTACTGCCAGTGGGAAGTTCTGCTCACATTTTTATTTCCCTGTTTTTCTTGTGCAGGGGTTGTAATTTAAAAAAAAAAAAGAAAGAGAAAAAAAAAGTATGTGCGTGTTTTTCCATACAGTGGCATTGCTGCAGGGTTTTTTCGGAGAGAATAGGTGGACTGGTTCAGATATTACAGTAGCAGTAAGTGCTGATTTTGTTTGATCTTAAATGTGAATTGTTCTGAAACTAAGAATGGTAATTGCTTTTGGGAATGGCTTGGGCTGTTTGTTTTGAGTTGTTGTTTTTTCTTTTATTGGCTTTTTTCTTTTTTCTCAAAGCTGGAAAAACAAAGATTTGCCAAATTGCTGGTCATAGGGCATGTTCCTTCCAGGGTGTGACAAACTTTATTGCCTGTCAGAACTTACGGGCTTAGAAATGCTGCTGGGTGGATCGCCCTGGAGACAGCAGTCCTTTCTTTGTGCCAGAGCTTTGTCTCATCAAAGTCTTTGTAAAGGTCTACCGGAATGTGAATTTACCTTCTACATACTGCCATTACAGCCTGGGCAGTGAAATGTCATTTTTCTTCTAGCAGTTTCCATGTGGGTAGATCTAGAGATTGTTCCAGGCTCCCATTAGTGTTTGGGAGATGTGAGCTGTTGGAGTCTTCCGGGGTGAATCTTGTCAAGGATCGAGAACCCCAGATGTGGGCTATGGGTCAGACCATGAGGGTCTGGCTGACTGTTGGGCAATTCCCTCGGCAGAGGGCAAGATCAGGTAGCAGCAGTCTTTGGTGTGCTGAGTCCTTCTCTGAGGATGGTGATGTGTCCATGCACTAAGATTTGTGTGGTCTGACCTTACAGGATCTGGAGACAAAGACATGACAGGAAGATCATCCTTCAGCCCCGTTGTCTTGGTGGGGAAGCAAAGGAGGAGTAACTATTGAGGTCAGCTAGATTTTCAGGGCATGTCAACTGCTGTGTTTCAACTTAAAGTTTTTTCTGACAGTCAAAGTTTAGGCTTCACAAAGTAACTGAGCAATTGAGGAAAGAGTCTTCTATACGTTAAAAGTTATCTCTGAAGTCGAATAACCATATGTGTTTACTTTTCTTTTTTCCCCGAGGATACTGTGTTTTGTTTGTGAACTTTGGGTTTCCATCGTACATCCCTGCAAACATGTCCCTCACTAATACATTTTAGGTTTTTGTGTGTTTAAAGCTAAATGGAGGAGAATCTCCTGGCTGAGACAAGGGAGCAGCCAGCATAACACCAAGACTGATTTGACATGCACAAGGCTGAAGCTTCCTCTTTCCCCCTCTACATGGTAGCAAACCCATCCACGTGTCCCCACTGGTCTTAAGTGAGGTTCGAAGGACTGGAATGAAGCTTTCTGAGGCAGATGGGCACGTGGACTTGACTCTCTGGGAGTTAACATGCTTACTTTAAGGGTCTGCAGCATCTTTAAGACCAGCCTTTACCTGGCAAGGAGTGTGGTAGTCTCCAGTGTTCTTGAGGATGGCCACCATCATCTTGGCTTGTTTTGCATGATGCCTGGTCACAGCGTGGTCCCACTGTATAGCAGGAGCTTCTTGGTGTCACTGCAGCTCCAGAGATGACCATGAACATAAAGCCATTTTCACGGTTCTCTGGTATTTCAGGAATTTTGGAGCTGTTTGCTGACCGTGCAGCTGGTGTGTGGGAGGAAAGCAGAACAAGACAAGTGAAATGCACAGTGGCCATGGAAGGCCCAAGCGACTGTATGAAAACACGGGCTTGAGTGGATGAGCTGCAGTCCATAAAATACCCAGGGCAGGTCTGACTTAGTCTCTTCTGCCAAGTCAGCACTATGGCTTTTTAGTCCAGTTAAACATCCTGGCAAACTAGATTTGCAGTGCGGTCTGTCCCAGGGTCTTGGTCAACAGCAAACCCTGAAGTTACGACTAAACCCAGCCTTGCTCTGTGATAGGAGAGCAGTTAAGAGCAGAGAAACCAGCCTCCGTTCACTTGTTGAACTTGAATTATTTATTGCTCTAATAGACTGGAATAAATACTAAACAAATGAGCTTCCTGTCCTTGAGTGACTTCTGGTTTGTAAATAAACTTCAGATCTGAATTCTTGATTCTTTTTTAATTTAAAGGAGGCTAAACCCCATGGGAATGGTATCTTGCGGTTGCACGAACTAGAAAGGGTTCATGGCCTGATTCTCATCTGGAGGGTCATATGATGACTTGGGCTGGAGATATTTTCCTGCAATAACTTGGAGTAGCTCTAGGGTTTGGGATGTGTCACCTTTCTCACTTCTGTGTCCTTTCCTCTGACTACAGGTATCTCTAGTTTGAAGTAGAGTTGTGGATGCTGAGGGAAGTGCATTTGGGTCTCTGGAGCTGGAGGACCAAACAGGCAATTTGTAGCAGTTAATGGGAGCTTAGCATGGCCCTCCAGTGCCCTCCCTGTAGGACCGTGTTTCACACTGTCTTGGTGTCTTTCCATGGGACCTTTTGGAGGTATTTATATTCACAGAGGGACATAAAGGGATTGTAAATTCTTAGTGGGGCTTGCAGAGCTGCAGTTGCACAAGCCATGCCCTACCATGGGGCTGTACTTCCCTGCCTTCTGGCCAGGAAAAACAAGGAGCCCTTTCACTGAAAGGAGTTTGCCAAGGGATCTGCTGGTTTTGTGCAGCTACACTACTCAGCCCCAAAGGAAAAACTGTCTTCAGATGCTCCTTTCAGGGAGGATGGCAAAGGCCCTGGAGGAGGCAGCTGGGTTTCTCCCCTCCCATGAAGCCTGAGTGCTCTTGAAGCTTTTTAACAGAACATAGCATCTGCATGAAGCTCCTCTGTCTGTTTTCACAAACTTGCAATCTTGCTTGTATCAGCAAACAGAGCAAAATCCTGGTGCTTCCAGAGAGAGGACCTTTGCAATTACCTTACCTGGGGCCATTCATCTTGAGATGGCCTCTTTTTTCCAGTGGATGAACATCAGTCCTGTGTCTTGATGATAAAGCTGCTGTGGTTCCTGTCAGGCAGGAGGAGATGCAGGGGAGGGGAGCAGCGTGCAAGCATGCCCGCATTAAGGGGTTCTTTGTGGGGATGGGGAGGGACTCAACATCTGTGGAGCTGCTCTTTGTTCTGCCAGGAGCTGGATGCGCCTGTAAGAAGTAAGTTGAGTCTCTGTTCAACTCATTTACCAGCTGGGAAACGGCAAAAGACTTAAATCTTGTGTTAACAGGCTTCCCTCCTGCTCTCTTGTTTTCCCAGGGCGGCCACTGACCACAACATTGATAACACCACAGCAATCCTTAGAGAGTGGCTGAAGAACGTGCAGAACCTCTACCACGATGTGGAGTGGAGGCCAATGGAAGACCCTCCGTGAGTACGGGAGCGAGGGGCTGATGGAAGCTGTTTGGTGTATATGTCAGTTTTTCCTAGGTTGTCTGTTTTCAAACCAGGAGATGTACTAAATGTTCAAGCATTAAAATGTAGATTTTTTATTTTATTTTTTTGGGATGGAGTCTGCCTCATTAAAATAGTGTTCTTACAGACCCTGTGAAAAGGCATCTTACTTCAGTGAAGCAAGTCATGTAGGACTTCGAAGAAGAAAGCATTTTCCATTCAGTTATTTAGCATCTGCAGCTGCTCGATTTGCGTGGTAAACACATCACATCAAAAGCTACAGGGAATAAAAACTATCATTCTCTCTTTGCAAGGAAGTAGAGAAACCATTGCCCATTCCCATAGTGTCTATGAAAGTTCAGTCTGAAACCTCAAATATTTGGTAGGTTCTGAGCCAGAGAAATAAATTCAGTTCAGCGTATCATGCCGTTGCATGACTTGCAGGATCATTGCTTTGAAATACGATGTTAGGTGTGTTGGGGTTTTATTGCTTTATTTTATTTAATTTTTTTTTTCTTAGGATCAGCTGTTCCTTGATTTGTTCCGTTTTCTAATTCTTCCATCAGGGAAAAGTATATCAGTTTCTCCTTTCTTTACACTTGCTTTTGCTTTCAAGGTCCTCAGCAGTGGTGGGGCAGTTGTGGTACAAACCCACAGGGAATGCTTGTTTTGTTGACTTTTTTAATCCTTTAATTGGAATTGCATTTTCTTAATCCTGTCAAACTTGGCTTTTTTAAGTTGTGTAAAAAATTTTAAAAAAATTCCTAGCTCCTTCACTGGCTTACACTGGCACTGTTTCAAAGCCCTGAATTTTTATTCCACATGGGAAACTGTCCCTAAATTTCCTTCTGTCATTGTTACAAAGTGCTTGGATCTGATCCTGAAAACAGAGACATGTGCATAACTTGGCTCACATGATCAGGCTCGTGGGGTTGGGTGTTTGTAGATTTAAGAGCTGTTACCGGGATGTGTTAGCAGTTACTAATAATGCCCAGAACCCCAAGGAAATTCAGATTGCCTTCATCTTCACATCCTCGGCTTTGTTGATTCTACTGGGCTTAAGGAAGCTGCATTTGCAGTCTTAAAGCCTAGGAGAGGACAGATGACTTCCTACCAGAGGGTCAGATGAGGTAAATCACCTTCAGTTCATTTTGGAGGGATAACCTGTTCTTACGTCAGGTGAGGGCCTGCCGCTGCAGAAGGAACTCCTGGGTTTGATGGTGCTGTTTTGTTTGCGGCTGCTTGGTCGGTGGGAAATGCTGCAGAGCTGTTTATTCTCCGGTGCCCTGTGTACACATGCCAGTGTCAAACTTGGAAACATTCTCCCTCAAAACCTCTTGTGGGTTGCCTGAGGTGACTCTAACACTGTTTTTCTTTTGGAAAGAAGGCAGCAAGGAAATTTTTTTTTTTTTTGTGATTAGTGTAATAGGGCCCAGACATGCAGTCACTTTTTTTTTACTTTTTTTTGCAAGGTCTTACCCAGAAGAAATTGGGCCAAAACATTGGCCAAGCTCCCGATTCACTCATGTGATGAAACTCCGACAGGCTGCCCTGCGTGCTGCGCGAGAGAAGTGGTCAGACTACATCCTGGTAAGTACAAGGTTTGATTTATTAACTGTCCTCAGGCAAAAGCTATTCAGGTAGTCACTCTCATACTCAAGGCTGCCAAAAAAGTTTCTTCTTCATCTAAAGACAGAGCTCTCTGCAGTGACGTGTGTTGTTTCTTCATCCGATGAGCAAGAGGCTTTACAGCTAGAGAGAGAAGTCCCTGGGCAAGCCCAAGACTTTTTCCACAGGGCTCAGGATTTAATATAGCCCTGGGGGGTGGCTGGGTACCTGCAAGGTTCCCCCAGATTGAAACCCACTGGTTATTAATGAAGTGAAAGAGAAATAATTCTGCTGAACAGTTGTGGATAGATGCGTGCCGATACCTCATGCCTCTGGCTGTCTTGTTCCCAAGAAAGCACCAGGGGAAGCATGAAATTCCAACTAGTAACAAATTTATTTCTCCCTTCCTCTCTTCCTTCTCTAGTTTATTGATGCAGATAATTTACTGACAAACCCACAAACCTTGAACCTGATGATAGCAGAAAACAAGACGTTGGTGGCACCGATGCTCGAGTCTCGCTCTCTCTACTCTAACTTCTGGTGTGGCATCACTCCCCAGGCAAGTGACCGGGAAAGCTGCTGTGTGACTGTGCAAGCTGTGTTTTCAAAGGCCTCCTGCCTTGTGTCTGTTGAGCAGTGGGCATAATTTCTGTTCTGTGGGCTCTCCTGTCAGCTTTCAGAGCTTCCCTTCTGAAAACAAGCCACTGTAGCTTGGAGACATGCCAAGGTGGTGTTAGGAGAGCGGTGTCACGCAGTCATCTCAGCTTGCACCTCTCTCAGTGACGGCATCCCAAACCTTGGGTGGGTATCTTTGGGAAAGGTCTGTATGTTTGCATGGAATAAGGGTAGAAAGGACATTGCAGTCTAAAGAAGTTTTTCAGGCTTCTACTCTAATGGAGCTGTAGGTATGAGTAAAGCTATACATGTTCTTTATGGGGAGTGCAGGCACATAGGTGAAACTTGCTTCCTTATCTTGAGGTTCCTCACTTGAAAAAGCTGAATCTGGAGGAAGTTGAGCTTGCTTAGCCAGAAGTCCTGGGAAGTGATACAGTCCCAATAACTATGTAAATAATACCAACCTACACACCAGAATTTATTGGAAATGGTTCCATATGTTTGTGTAATGGCCTTAAAACTCTTGGTACCTAATTTCAGACTAGCCTTTCTGCATAGTGATGCTAATCTGAGAGGAATTTGCTTTTGTTTCTACAGCACAGGTTGTTTTTCACACATAAACCAAGATTTATATAGTGGGACAACACCCTTTGCCTTGCAGGGAGTGTGTGTGTGTGTGTGCTGAAGCGTGTACGTAAAGGGTAATGGTGTACGGGGCAGAAGTGCTTAGCCTAAAAATTACGTTTCGTGTTACCTTTAGAAATCACATATATGGCAGAAAGTATCAGAGACAAGAATGACATGCCATATAAATAGCATTATTTTTAGAGCCAGAACAGCGTTGAGCTGTCACTTTACGAGTTGATCCACATCAGGGTGGTATGTTGACCCCAGCAGGATGTGGGGGCAAACTGAAAGGGCGAAAGCAGGAAAAAACTCTCCATGCAGTGTTATAGCTGTTGTATGATGTTCTACAGCGTGGAAAATCACTTCGATCACTTGGGGTCAACTGTCTCAACTGTGTCCCCTCCCAACCTCTTGCTCTCTCCCAAACTACTCACCGTGGGGGGCAGAGAGAGAAACAGAGAAGGCCTCGGACGGTGCAAGCACTGTTCATCAGCAGCTGAAATATCAGCGTGTTATCAACACTGGTTCAGTTGCCGGTCTAAAACACAGCACCATACGGGCTGCTGTGAAGAAACCTCCCAGCCAAGCACAGTACAATCACCTTGTCTATAAAAGGACTTTGGTAAGATAATCGAATCTCTAGAAGGGCAAACCTGTTGTCATGGTAATTTCTTTCCTGTTTTCACTTTCAAATTTTGTTGACTGAGCTCCAGATGGGCTTTCCAAGGTTTTCAAACTGAAATGGGACTGTAGTTAATGTTTTTTTTTCTCCCAGGTGAGCCTTAATAACATCAGCTTTTTGACCTGTTCTTCAGTCTGCTGCTGGCATGTGTTTTGTCGTCCTTTTGGGAGTCAGGATCCTAAGCTACATGTCTCTGAGAATGGCAAGGGGTTTTTTGTTTTCTTGAAAATGTTCCCTTTTTGCCCATGTTGGTCCTGGAAAGCTTCAGGATTTCCTTTTTACTTCTGTGCCTGAGTCTCATGTTTCCTTCTTCAAGACAAGATTGCCCTACTCCACAGGCAAATGTGTTTAAGCCTGAGCTGCACATGCATCTTTGAACTTGGGGAACATCAACAGTAGAACTCCAGAGAGGCTCCATGGTCCTGCCCTTCCCTGCCTACTTGCTTTATTACAGGTTGCTAAACAGATACGAATTGTTGTCATTATTGCCAGAGAGAAACAAAGGGAAAATTCCATTACTCACTTCTGGCATAAAACCATCATTCTTCCTTCCCAGAGTTACTGAGGACACAAGTAGGGACCACAGGCAGGGTGAAAACACAACAACTGTACTGGGTCGGACCAAAGGTCTGTCTGATAGCAGCGGTTCCTAGCAGATGTGTAGGAAGTAGGATAAGAAAATGACAAACAAGTGAGTGAATGATACTTCCCCAAAATATTTTTCTGTCCTCTGGCAATGTCATTCTCGATGATTTCTTGAGTAAGGACTTTGTCTCTAAAGCTCTCAGTGTTTTTATTTTTTTTTTTGCACCCATGCCATCTTATGGCAAGGAGTTCCACTGTTCAGACTAGCTGAGTAAAAATAGCAGGAAAAGGTCCTGAATTTTCCAAGTTCTTGGGACGTAAATATGTAGATAAGAAAAGGGTGGGGTGTGTTTACTCATTTCAGGTTTTCTTTTAAAATGGAGATACAAACTTCATAGCAAAAGCTTTGTCCTTTAAGTTTTTAAAGTTAAGTCCTTGGACAGCCAGGTTTTCCACTGATGTAAATCACCATTGCTCCACAGGCAGCAGGGAATCTCTTCCTGTGTGCACCAGCCTCACCCCTGGCCCCTGGCGTTATGTCTCCAGTAGTAAATTTCCATCATTACCAGCATTAGTTGAGAAAAGGAGGGGTAGGGGGAAAGAGCAGCAAATGCATCTTGCAGAACTTGTCGAAAAAAGCTGCCTAAATGAACAGCAAAGCTCCCTTTTTTTAAAATTTCTTTTTGTCTTAGTTTCTTGCAGTCCCACAGCTTAATGCTCTCAGTCTTGCCTCTGTCTGGAGACCTGGGGAAAGAGGAACAGCTGGAGCACACCCTGAAACACGGCCTCCAGCACTGAGCAACAGCAAGCCAAACCCAGCTCCAGAGAGCTTGACATTTAGTTGTCGTGAAGCTAACCTTAGGAGAGCATGGCAACAGTACTGACAAGCTGCAGTCTTTCTGGACTATGCATGAGTTATGAGCAGTGAAAACCCCGTAGTGAGAGCTGACTGGAGGAGGAAAGATTAGTTTCCAGCATCTTTCACCTGTGGCCATTCTCAGATGTCTGATAAAGGTTGAATGTCTTAACCCTTCCTTCAAGTGGGAATGCTAGTAAGGTCTCTGCCTTCTTGCTCTTTTTCATGAAAATCAGACTGGCTGTGTTTTTGAGCTCTTTTGTCCTCACAGTATGGTCAGAAGGTATCTGAAGGACAGAGGGGAGGATCAACAGATACATAAACAGACGAATGCACCACGCCATGCTTTTGCACAAAACCAGGGTAAAGTGGTTCTACAGGGATTTGCATAGCTGTTGCTAGGATGCTCATGGAAAATATAATGTAGAAGTAATGTTAACTTATTTTAGTGACTCATCATTTCTGTTAAGACCAGAATCCGCTCTGGATTCAACCCTCAGCTGTGTCCAGATGTCTTAATTGGTGTGTTAGGATCTTCTTTCTGGAGAAATTCAGTGCATTTATTTCTCAGTCTGGTAGCTTTAGACATATAGTATGTATAAAAACAGCTGTAAGCTGCACAAGGTAGGTGTTGCACCCACAGTTCTGGAGGGCTAACAGGGCTCATGATTACAGAGAAATAAGCTGGCTGAAGTGCTTCCCTTGACAGACTCTATGGGGAGAGCTCAGGAGTTGAGTATTAATCAGGCTTGCCTTGAGATGAAGGAAAGCGGGGATTCTTACACAGCTGGTAGACACTGAGATGTTACTTCAGCTTCAGTGAAGCAATTTATTTTTTTTTTCAAGTCATGGGCAGAAATAATTTGCAGGTCCTGTTGTGCGAGACACTGGATATCCTTTGTGCTTGTTGAATGTGGAAGATGTCACGGGTGCTCAGCAGCTTCCAGGATGAGACCTGAGGGTCTGTGTGCAGAAAATGTTTTTGAAGAGGCAGGAGAAATAGTCTGAGGTTTGAAGCTCTATTGCAAAAAAAGCTTAGATTTCCAATAGCTGCTAAAAAGGAGATAGAAGGTCAGGCTTTAACTTTTGGGATGGAGATTGTTTCTAAATGCTTGACTGAGCCCTTTCCAAATGGGAGACACTTAAAAACCTGAGAATTGAGCACTGATCCATCTCTGCTGGGGAGGGCTAATGGTGAGAGCTTTTGCTAAGGAGCATCTGTGAAACGGAAATCTCGTGTAACAAGCAGCCCCCTCATTGTGATTGCAGGGCTATTACAAAAGGACCTTGGATTATCCCCTGATTCGGGAATGGAAGAGGACAGGCTGTTTTCCTGTCCCGATGATTCATTCCACATTCCTCATTGACCTGAGGAAAGAGGCCTCCACCAAGCTGATGTTCTACCCTCCACACCAGGACTACACCTGGAGCTTTGACGATATCATGGTCTTTGCCTTCTCCAGTCGCCAAGCAGGTATGTCTGGAGCCTTCGCTGGGGAGGATGCACTAACAGAGATATGCAGACCCCTACTTTGAGTTCACAGGCCAGAAGTCCTGTGTTATCTTCAGTGGTGAGTTAAGATTTGCTCCCCTTCCACTTTTGGGTCTGGTCAGGGATAACCAGCAGTAGGTGACTGGCAATGCAGTTTTGATTCACAGCCAGCTTCCATGGACACAGGAGCTGTTCTTGGGATAGGGGCAGCATTTTCAGAGACAAAATGTGTGACATCTGCCCTTGGTTTGTGTCACAGCAAGACAGTAGTAAACAGAGGTGAATGCTGTGAGAGTGGAAGGTACCGCAAATTCTATAGGTAAAGTATCTAAAGTCACCAATTCTAGGAGATCCATGAGGAAGGGGGTGAGGACAAGAGACCTTTTAAATGTAGCAGCCCTTGTGGAAAACAAACCCCAAGTTGCTTACCTGCAGTGCTGATGAGACTTTACTTCATGAATGTCTGAGAGGTATGAGGTTTTTGTTTTGTCTTTTTTTTCATTGGAAGAAAAATCAGTGCAACTTTTAAGGCAATGATGCAGTGCCTGTGGGATGTGCTGAGAGGCGATCTCTTGCAGGCAAGAGTGGGTTAGAGCCGGTGTGTGAGCAGTAAAACCTCTGCATGCTTGATATTGCATCATTGGTAGTTTGGCAGAACCAGTCAAGCACTTGAGATCCTTGGGACACAGTGGAGAGAAAAAGTGCACCATGCCAGCCAATACTGGGATCAATTTCTATCAGACAGTGGGAGGATTCCAGTTAGACCTGAAATACAGGAGTCCTTTCAGGCCAAGTCACAGCCTCAGTGTCCTCCTCCTCTCCAGTATCTGGAATAGCTATTGCAGTTTGCAGAGAGCTCTGGGTGTCTCAGAGAAATCACTGTCCCTTAAGTGCATGACGCTGCTGCTGCCACTGCTTGTTGTGGTAAGGATGTTTAGTCCTGTTTGGTTTTGGAGAGTGGATCTGGAGGGGATTCTATCTCCAGCAAAGTCCTGTCTGGCAGACCTGTACGTAGCAGTGGCAGAGCTGAAAGGACCTCCAGGGGAGGTTGTGTTTGGAAAGGCAGTCTGTGGTGTTCTTTGCCCTGCTGTGTTGAAAAAAAGTTTGGGGCCTTACAGGGAGTAAAAGAGTAGTAAGACCTCAGCAGCACAATTAAAATGCACTTCTGTTCTGAGCTGTGTGGCTGGTTTGCTGGCTTACTGAGGAGAAAATGTTACTGGATCTTCCGAGTGATGTGAAGTTGGTGTTACCTGTTGTCTGTTTGTAAAAGAAGCAAAGTTAAGGTGAGAAGGAAGGGTTGTTCTTGAGGGACAGACAAGCAGAAAGGAAGTGGTGTGGCTTTTTGTTGTTGGTAGCCGCTTTTGCAGAAGAGACTGTCTAAGACTGCATTTCCCACTGTTTCCAGACCAGCACAGCAGCCACGAGCTGTTTGTAGATTCCCTTTCAGTGATGTTTCTGGTTTGAAGTTCTTGGTGGCACTGAAGAAGATGATGGTGTCTTGGCAGACGAAGCATGGCTTTTTAAAACTCAGCTGTGAGAGGATGAGGGGCATCACATCAGGAAGACAAATGAGAGAGGAGAGGCAGCAAGAGCTGAAGTTAGAGCCCTTGGGAGGCAGAGGGGAGACGTGAACTCACAGGGCACCTTTGCGTGCTGACTCAAAGTCAGCACGTTGGTGTGTTGGCTCCAGAGGAGAATTGACATTTAAGTCTGGATAGCAAAGCAGGCTTCTTCAAATCTACCTGCCCTGCGTGTTCTCTCCGACAGCTCTCCCAGAAATGCACCATCTGATGAGTGTGGTAGCTGCATTGTGTTAGCTCCAGCTGCTTAAGAAATAGTTTGTGAAGTGAAGCCCGTTGTATTTTCCTTCCATACCAAAAAAATTCGGCGTTTTCCGGGACTGACCCATGACATGAAAGACTTTGCTTCAGCAGTCTGGCCCATTGATCTGGTCAGGCTGTTGGCCTGTGTCCTGGGCAGAGTTTGTCACCCAAGATAAAAGGATGACATCCAAGTTCAGAAATGTGAGAAATGTGTGGACCTTGAGGTAATTTCACTTACTTTCCTGAAGTCATAGACAATGTTGGCTTTTGTCCAGGCCAAGTACTGCATGTAATGCCTTCAGATTGAACCATCGATTTTCAACAGTCAATCTACTGCTCAAAGCAACTCTTTTGTGGTACTCCAAAGAGACCATCCCACTTCTGCTGAGAGATCGCACCTGTGGTGGGAGTAGTGACTCAGAACAAAGCTGAATGCATGTGTTTTATTGACGAAGGTGAACTCTGAGCCCTTTGCACTCACAAGACAGCATTTAGCCAGCCTGAGGCTCTGAAGACCCAGAGTCAGCCAGCAGGAAAGTGTGGTCGCAGGGATATGGGGGAAATCTAGATTGCCTAGATATGGCTGTGGGTTTAAGGCCATATCTTGTGAATCCCGGTGACTGCCTTACAAATGCAAATATCTATAGCTTTTCTTTCCCATGTAGCAATGGTTTATTGTATTATAAAAACAGCTGGAGAGCCAGTCCCTTTCCCCATTTTAAGGTAGCTTTACCATTCTAAAGTAGCTTTTATCCCAGAAGGAACAGAAATATTGGTGTGAATCTATGCAGATTAACTGTGTTAAAGCCAGCGGAAGACAAGAACAGAGATCAGTGAGCCAGATAAGATTAGTTGATTAGATCAGTGCCAAATCCATTAATGTCAGCAGGTAGTATTTTTTATTCTGCCATTTACCTAAATTGCAGCTGACAGCTGAATATGTTCTGGCAAGTAGTGTAGCCGACAATTTACTTGTGAAACTTAAAATGGTAGAAACACCGTGGACATTAATGCAGACAATTCTGCTTTGCTAAAAATACCAATTACTAGGAGGACTACCACATGAAAGTATCAACATACCAGGTAGTGTCTGCTTTTCATTTATTTCCTAGAAGGAGGAGCGTGGTCATGCTTGCTTCATTAAAAAAAAATAAAAGGCAGGTTTGGAGGGGAGGGGTGCTTGGTTGGTTGGGGTTTTTTTCCCCTGTAAATCTTAAATTGTTGGCCAGTTGTAGCAGCAGCTTTCAGATTGTAGTTAATTAATAAAGGATCTTACCAGAGCTAAATGAAAAAATGCAGAAATACTTTCCCCTTGGCTTCTCTGGGTGCTTTTGAGTTTGTTGCCTGATGTGACATCAGGCCCAGTGCTGCTGTGGTTATAGCGAGCAGAACCTTGGTTAGGCCGGAAGGAATAGCGTTTTGCTGATCACACGTGGCTGGCACATTCCCAGTGAACAAGCTCATCAGTGGGTGGGCCTGTCCCTTGCAAAGGCATCTGCTTCGCATCTTTTCTTTGTTTCACACCTTTGGGTTCGGCTCCTTGAACACGCAGTTCCAAAAGCTGTTGAGTAGAAGGATGTTACATTAGTGCCTCTTTTTGAAAGCATCTTTTCTCCTTGCTGGTGTCTCTCTCTAGGATTTTTCTCCTGTATTCAGGGTGCAGTAAGACCCAGTCCTGGAGAGGAAAGGATGTTGTTTGATGGTAGGCTTGGCACTTCCAAGACGGCTATCGTACATATCCCTCAAAGTCTTTTGCCAACAGAGGTGGAAATGTCTTTATTTTCTAGCCAACGCAAACAGAATCGGGAAGACTGCAAAACCCAGCCCGAATCCCTTGCTAGGCTACAGACAGGTCCTGCAGCTACACCGATGCCTTGGTCCTTGATGTTTCATCCCATGTTATGCCGGGGCAGATGAACTGCCCAGGCTTGCTTTTAGCCAGCCGTGTGCTGCTGAAGCCAGAGATCAGGCTTGGCTCCTCCCACCCTGCAAGAGTCAGCCCGTATTTATTGTGGTCCGATGGAGAATCCTTGCAAAGCTCGGACAGAAGCTTCCAGGTTTCTGCTGTGGGGTTGTTTTCACAGCAAGAAGGCAAAGGCCAAAAAAAGACCCATTCTCTGGACTCAGAGGGGAGTTCCGAGTCCCTCCGAGGAGAAAACTGATGACAATTAAAAATACCTGCTGTTAGGAAGCAAATAGAAATGGGTTTCATATGAGAGGCTGGCCAAATAAAACAAAAAATGGCACTGTGATGTTTTTGAATTGTTTGCTCATGAAGCAGAACGTCTTGAGACTGAGGTCCTGGCATAAGTTTGATTGTGGTAACAGAGCAGCGAAATCTGCTAGTAAAAGACCGGACTCTCATTTCTTTTTCTGTAATTCCCAGGAATACAAATGTTCATCTGCAACCGGGAACACTATGGTTTCCTTCCCATGCCCCTGAAATCACACCAGACGCTGCAAGAAGAAACAGAGAACTTTGTGCACACACTAATCGAGGCTATGAGTAAGTTGCTGTGCCCTGCCAAGATGAATGGCATCATTTCTACTTGGGGTTTGTAATCACTTCCTGGTCAGGTCTACCCCATTCACAAAACCTTTGGTTTCTCCATATTAAACACAAAAATGCGTCTTTACTATGAAAAGGATGCTGCAGAATCGAGGATTTTTATGAGGTCTTTTGGGCACATGGCTGCTGCCTTCTGCTTTACAACATGGATGTTTTCTGCTATACCCAGACCTGCACTGACTTCATATCCCAGCTCCCTGGGGCATTTTAGACACATGCAGATACATTATATTGGTGCTGCTTATACAATGAGGGTGATGCTTGGGATCTCTGCTCTCTTCCAGTCGATCGACCTCCCATTGAACCCTCTCAGTATGTCTCTGTTCCTCCGAAGAACCCTGACAAGATGGGATTTGATGAAGTAAGGAACCTGTTTTGTTGCCGTCCTCTTGTCTCGTCTTATTATTTATCACTTAGAGGACCTGAGTTGTCCCTATTGCTTAGTTTCCAGCCATTTCCCTTGGGGTGTATTATCTTTTTACGTAGTTGGCTCTTTCCCAGTCACTCATCTTTTGGGCTTAAACTGTTTGCAAGGAGAAAATAGCCATCCTGATTTGTGGAGAACTACTACTGAGCTCAGGGAAGCAGGAGGGAAAGGGCTCAGGGAGCATTCTTTCTGTCTGGCACTTGCTATGGAGAAATGAGGCCAATCAGGTCTGTGGGCACTTAGTACCTGTTACAAAATCCCTGAAGAGAAGTGCAGCTTTGTGTCCCAGAGCAGAGCCCAGCAAATCTTTGGGCTTCCTGTCTTGATGGTATGAATGTTTTAATCCACCCAGGAGGAGATGGCAGAAATGAAGCCAAAATCTAGGTTGTTTAACTCCCCAGTTCTTGTGCTGTTTCCTCTACATCTGACCCTGCAGAGCAGCTTGGCAGTCCTTCCATCCTGTGACAAAAACAGATCTTTTGGGAAACCTCTCCTACTTTCCAGTGACCAAAGGTAATGATTTCTCTCACCTGAGAGAGACACTAGAAAGACTGGAGCAGCTGGGGAGCCAGGATCTCAGCTGAGTTCTAGCCCAAGGTGTGTCAAGGAGTGGTGAAAAACACGCATGCTGTCTCCTTACTGAGGCAGCTCTTCACCCTGCCCTGCTTGGTCATCACATTTTTCTGCTATGGCCTTAAGTTAAAAAAAAATAAATGGTTGCTGACACTGGTAGTGCCCCCAAACCCCACAGAAATTCCTTTTTTGACTCTGTTCCTTGCTGAGGGGAGAAGGCTGAAGAGGAATCTGTGGTGCTTTAATTGCCCGGTGTCTGTGTTCTTCCCAGACCCAGCAGCCCCTGGGTGTGCAGCTGCCAGGCCAGCAGTGGCACCGTGACTGAGGGGCTCATGGTGATCAGGGGAGCCTTTGTTTTCTTGGCATATTCTGCTGCATCTGTTTGTGTGACTCGTAGAGTCCAAACCTGATTTGTCTGAATGTGTTTGAGTCTCTGTGTTTAGGACACAGCTGGTGTAGGGTTTTTTCCATGTTGTCCTTTGTGGCGGTGCTTTATTTATCCAATTTATTATTTTTGCGTTTGTACTGGGCTGGAATTTGTTCCGCTTCTTACTGGGATGAGGTTTTTGGTCTGTAGGCTACAAGGCTGCACTTGTCTGCGTGGAGCTGAAAAATATCCCTAACCCTATGCAATTTACCTGCAAATGAGGGCTTCAGTCCTCTGCCCTTCACCAGGGAGCCCAGCTCCTCAAGGCTTGGACGGAGCCCTGTCCAGACATCTCTGTTCCTGGTCTTGGCGCTCAGCTGAGCTTTCTGCTCTGACAGAGGTAGCAGTGGATTTTCAGTGCTTGAAGTAATTACAAAAATTCTCTCTTTACTGTGTCCTTGTTCTTGGCCGGCGGCCCTGCTGTTAATCCTAAATATGGGCGGTGGCTACATTGTGGAGAAACATGTGGGTCTGTGTTCCTCTGGGACTGGAGCTGGCCATGTTACTCTGTTTTTACCATAAATCAAAACATCCTGTGTCTTTGGAAATTACAGAGTTGGCAGTAACTGATCTCTCACCTTTATTTGTCCTCAAAGAGCAGATTTCCCCTGTGAACATCCATAAAAAGTAGTTGTTTGACAGGGAACAAGCCTCTAAGCTTTCAACTCAAAATGATCCCCAGTTTTCTGACAGCTTCTAAGCAACCTGGAATGAAAACATACCCAGTATTTTTGTCATACCTGCTTTTTCAGTAGGGCTGCTGGAGAAGCATGGGTCAGGGCCTCCTTTTCTTCCTCATTCCCAAGGCTGACGTCTTTTTTTTCTCTACTCAGATTTTCATGATCAATCTGAAGCGCCGGAAAGACAGGCGGGATCGGATGCTGCGGACTCTCTATGAGCAGGAGATTGCGGTCAAAATTGTGGAGGCTGTGGATGGAAAGTGAGTTTTGGCTGGAGTTGTTGATGTTTGCAAAGAGCAGGTTGTATATAACTGCTTAACACCATCTCCTTGGATGTCCTGACCTCCCTCTGGTGGGGAAGGGTGGACTGTGGGGAGAGGTGAACACTTTTATTTACCTAACAGGCTGTTTGGGGCAGTTTCTTTCTTCTTCTGCAGTTACTCAGTCTCCATGAAAGAACCAAGGCAATGTGGTTCAGCCTAAGGTGAAAATCAGGTTAAAAATCATACTGATTTCTATGACCTGTAACAGTTGCTCACAGGTAAAAGAAGTCAGCAATGAAAGTGTTTGAGGGCAATTTTCTCGTGGGAAGATAGTCTGTCCTAGTGCTACAAAGCTGTTGTGCTGCAGTGTTAACCCTGCAGTTTTAACACACTCTAAGGTGGGTTAAGACCTTTTTATAATGAGAGATCAGGGCATAAATTTTTGGTTTGGGAGTTGCAGAGACGCGTCAGGGTAATAAGAACCCACATGCCATCTAGTGGTCTTTGAGCCTCGGGTACCCATCAGGACCTCAGAAAAATAATCTGAGCTGAGCACCTGGCACTTTGATGGTCCCACAAGAAGTCGTTGGCAGAGTTAAGGATATGATGTGTCAGCTTGATTTAGAACTGTAAATCGAGAAGCTAATTTTTCTCTGCGTTTTTGAGCAAAACAAATGCAGGAATTTCTCAAAATACAGCTTTTCTCTGACCATCAGCAGCATTTCCTGTGTTGCATCTGTGTCTGACTTGAAGTTACTTTTTTTTTTTAAAAGGAAAAAAAAGGTGATAGCTATTCTCTCTTTCTCAGAGCACTGAACACAAGTCAGCTCAAAGCTCTCAGCATTGATATGCTCCCAGGGTACCGGGACCCATATTCCTCCAGGCCGCTGACCAGGGGAGAAATCGGCTGCTTCCTTAGTCACTATTACATCTGGAAGGAGGTAAGGAGTTTGTGGGTGCCTCAGGGTTCCTGCAGGAAAGTGCTGTGGGCAGGCACACAGCCAGTCCCAGGGCAGAGCATGAGATACAACGCAGGTTTGTGGAAGCATAGGATGGCACCATTTTCCTTGGTTCATAGGGGATCATGCACAGGGATTTTCTTGAACGCAGTGTTCAGCTTTCTGATCTCTGCTTTCCATTTGCCAAGAGCTCTGATATTTATCAGAATGTTTTCACGACTGTTTTTACAAACCATCTAATAGCCAGCCTGGAGCAAGTTACTGAGGAGAAAAGCAAGAAGGTGTGGAAGAACAAATGGTGTTTAAAAAAACCTCTTTTTTTTGTTTCCCCTGATTCTGCATCTGTACTGAAGCAAGTCCCAGTGACTGCTGGTTGGCTTCTTTGAGTTGGCTTATCATAAATATTCTTAACAATAGGGACTTCTGTTACCCGAGCTAAAAGATCTTGTTGGGGTGGTAAAAGCTGTAGCTTCCATATGTCACTAGTCACCTGGGGAGTGACACTTGAGAGGATCTGAGCTGTGCTGATCAGAGATGCTGGGATTACACAGCCTGACATCAACAGGAGGGATTATTTCAGTTAAGGTGTGGTGAGTGGTGGTGGTTACCCAAGTATAGATGTCCCTTTGCTCGCAGGGGTAGTAGCTGCAGCACCTCTCAGTGGCGGCAGGGCACCGATCCCAACAGCCTAGAGCCAGTAGCAGTGACCTCAGTACTGAGAATTCAGGCTGTGCTTTTGGGCTAGAGACTTCTAACTTGCCAATGGTCTGGTGGTAACGTGGCATCCTAGATGAAGGATGCCTTTGCATGTGTTTTCTCTGAGTCGTCAGGACCAGATTTTGGATAGACTAGACTGTCCTCCTTCGCAAACTTCAGGAACACTTTCTCTCCAACAAAGAGGCTTTTCTAAAGAGCAGCTCTGGCATCAAAGGAGGCTGCACAGTCCTCTGAGGAGGTGGTTGCTGTGATCCTGCTAGGTGGTAGCTCATGTGTTCTAGGTGGTGCAGCATCAGATGGAGGGTTTTTTAGGTTGCAGTTGCTCAGCCACAGGGTATTTTCAAGCCTGTTCTCACTGGCTCTTGCAGTCTGTCCCTGATGAGCTGTGAATCTGGGAGTGGTTCTCCAGCCTCTCTGCCGGCGTGGTCAAGAAGGCAGCGCTAGGTCAGGATGACCTCAGCAATATCAGGGTGCAGGAAGTGGTCCATGTGTGCCACTGGGTTTGCTTCTGAACCCTCTTGTTTCAGGTGGTGAACAGAGAACTGGAGAAGACGCTTGTTATTGAGGATGATGTGCGCTTTGAACACCAGTTTAAAAGGAAGCTCCTGAAGCTGATGGATGACATCGAACAAGCCCAGCTAGACTGGGAGCTTATGTAAGTAGCCGGTCCTCAACCATCTGGCAGCTCCTGGGCACGCAGGGGAGATCAGCAGTGCCTGCTGTCGTGATAGACATGCAGCTGGAGTGCAGGGGAAGGTGGCAGAGACTTCTTGGTGGCTCTTCCCCTCAGGGCAGATCTGCTTCCTAGAGCAGGCTGATGCTGGAACGCCCATTGGTTACCCTTACTGTGCTTTGTGGGCAGTGCTGGTCAATCTCAGCAGTGTCTGGAGATGCTGCTTTGACAGAGGAACTGACACGGCTCAGTCCTGAGGCTTGAATCATGTCATCTTAGCCCTACTATGAAGTCTTCCACAGACATATAATCCAACCGGTTAAAACTTGGATGTCTTGGAGTGGTGCAGGACAGAAATCTGTGAGCCTGGTCAGGTGTTACTTCTCAGATTGAGCCTTTGCCTTTCCTTGGTTGGCGTGAACAGTTTTGTGGTCCTAACTGCTGCAGATTCAGTTTGGTTCCAATTTCCGTGGTCTTTTCACCCTTTAAGCTACATTGGCCGGAAAAGGATGCAGGTGCAGGAGCCTGAGAAAGCAGTTCCCAATGTCATGAATCTGGTGGAAGCTGATTACTCGTACTGGACCCTGGGGTACGCAATCTCCTTCCAAGGAGCTCAGAAACTCATCGGAGCTGAGCCTTTCGGCAAGATGCTGCCTGTAGATGAATTTCTGCCCGTCATGTACAACAAGCACCCCGTGTAAGTAGGATGCCTTTGCTCGGGTTGAAGATCTCTGGGTCTTGCTGCATGATCTTAAGCCAGATCATATTGGCGTGTCTCTCTTCTGTAGCCTGGCTGGTGGGGAACAGGGGTACTTGTGCTTTTTTGGTTGTCTGCAGCAGACCTCCTGGTGCAGGTCAAAGGAAGTGACAGACCTGCTGTCAGAGGAGTTATTGTCCCTACCTGGTGCAGAGCTTGTGGGCTGGTTTTGAGACACGTGGCCATCTCTGGTAACGGAGGCTTTAGTTGTATAGGTTGTCGGTGGTTGCAAGGCACATGGTTTTGGCTGTAGAGAGTCAGATTCCACCCTAGCAACTCCCTCTACTCTCTGACACCTCTTTGCTCAGTCCGTTGGCTTGTATCTTACAGGTATAAACAGTGGCACTGATGAACGTTCACTCTGTTACCGATGACTTTTCTCTCCTCTTTAGAGCAAAGTACATGGAGTACTATGAATCCAGAGACTTGAAAGCCTTTTCAGCCGAACCCCTGCTTGTTTACCCCACGCACTACACAGGGCAGCCAGGCTACCTCAGCGACACCGAGACCTCTACAATCTGGGACAACGAGACCGTGTCAACAGACTGGGACAGAACACACTCCTGGAAATCCCGGCAGCAGGGCAAGATCCAGAGTGAGGCCCAGAACAAGGATGCTTTGCCTTCCCAGTCATCTCTCAACGTGCCGTCCTCCAGGGATGAACTATGACTGCACGCTTCCCCTGGGACTCTGCCGACAGCTCGACTTGCCTCACACTTTAGCTTTTCACCCTTGAAAGTTGTAGAGCAGCTCTTCATGTGGTCTCCTTCCCACTGCTTCAAATGGCAAAGCGTGATGGTTGGACCTGACAATTAACCGAGCTGCTTGGGACTGGGTGTGGGAGGTGAAGGAGGAGAAAGAACAAGTGTTCCAGACTGGAAGAAAAAAATAGCAGAGATCCGAACAAAAGCCCTCGCAAGCTTTTGTAAGAAAACCCAACCTTGAACGACGTCTTTCTACGATTCCTCGTGTCGAATACTGTATTTATAAAGATTAATATATAGAGGTGTACAAGTGTTAATACCTTTCTGGATAGCTGTCACTGGGCTGCTGTGTAAGCGCTACTCCTTGTAGGTTTGTAGGCTTTTATAACCCTGTTCACTGAGAGAAACTGCAGGCAAGCGCTTGGGTTATTTGGGTTTGTTTTTCAAAGGGATCCCTCTCAGAATCGTGATGGTTTCCAAAAACATTCAGTGCTCCGGAGCAGTGCTCCTCTGTAGTGTCTTCTCCCTCATCACACTTCTATAGAAAACTGTTGAGGGCTTCCCCTCACCAAGTTTCAAAACCTGTCACATCCCATCTAAACAGGCTTCTCATGCCAGAACTGATGTCTTGGCATGTCTAAAATCTTGGAAGCTAGCGGAGAACGTGGAGGTTTCCGGTTTTATTTGTCTCTGCACTGTCTGAAGGGAACGCAGGCAGAGATAGTCCATGTCATGTCCTTGCTTCACCCCTGCCTCAATTTATTCCTTCAGGAAAACAAAGTCTGACAGCCTATTTGCAGGCCTGTTTATTTAGGCCATGAAAACAGGCGTAGGACTTCTAGAAACTTAAAATTTAAAATGTTGGGTTAAAAAATACTTGACATTATCCTTATAAAAACAAAACAACCTACAGAAATGTTAGTGTTGTCAACTGTACTGTTCTCGACAGCCTTGATAGAATTGCGTGTTACAGGACGGAAAGGCAACTTGCCTGGATATTTTTTTGTGTGAGGAGCAAACTTGTCTTTTTTGGGTAAGCTCTGATGTACTTGATGTTGGCTAACATGTCAGCAGGGTATGGTGTTCAATTTTTTTTTTTACAGAAAATGTTTCTCAGAGGCCAGGTGAGAACAGACTACACTGCTTAGCTGGCACAGACTTCAAGCTCCAGGCTGCCGTTGCAGTGGGAGGATATTCTCCTGGGCTTGCAGTCTAGAGACTCACCTGCTGGCAGATCTGTGCAGTTCAGTGTGTGTGGCTGTTCATTTAAAAAAAAAAAAAAAAGTTTTGTTTGTTTTTAATAATTACTGATCAATGTTGTGCTTTCTGCTAAAGAAGACATGTTATTACCTGTCAGCCGGTCTGATAATACATAGAACCTGGTGCAAGATGAGCAGCTGTGTGTGTTCTTCATGGGGTGGGAGTAGCCCTGGTCGGGGAAGGCCAGCTCAAGAGTTTTTCAGCTGTGTCACTCTCCCATGGAGTCACTGGTGATATGAATGTGCCTGTTGTGCAGCTACTGCCTGGAAGCCGTGTTCCTTCTGCCGTCCATACTTGGTGAGTATGGAGAGCAGGTCTGCTGTAGGCCACCACGTACAGCCTGGGTCAGTCCTCTCTGATAAGCCCTCTTGCCTCCTCCTCAGGTCTCACTTTGCGAGTGGCAAGGATGACCTGTTTGAAGTACTGTTGAGCGTGGCAACGCCAGAGATGTTGGTAAGAAGCTTGGTGTGGCCTTCAGAAGTCGAACTGGTGAGCATCCAGCATAGTGTCCGGTGTCAGTGCAGGTACTGCAGCATATAGAGTTCATAGAATGGCCTAGGCTGGAAGGGACCTTAGAGATCATTTAATCCAACCTCCCTGTCATGGGCAGGGACGCCTCTCAACTAGATCAGGCAACACGTGCGTGTGCATCTAAGTCTGGCAGAGTAGCAGGGATGAGCCAACAGTGGGTGGATGAGTCCCTTTGGCTTGGTATCATTTCTCTGGTCTAGTATTGTGGCTGCCCCTCCACGGAAAGGCTTGTCGAGGTTACAGCGTGTTCATACACTTCGCCACTGCCTGTCTCTTCCATCCTCATGGACTTTCTGTCCTGTGAAAGACCCAGCTTTGTGTCTACAAGAAAGGCCTCTTTTTTCCAACCATGGGAGTGATTCACCAGACTAAGAACTCTGGTTTGTCCAACCCTTCCTCTTTTGATCCTGTTGAAGCATATTCTCCGTTAATGCTGTGGCTGAAGCCACCTCTGGTGCTCTCCACAGTGCTCCCTAGTTTGTGCTGGGAGCTCACCTGGGGGGTGAGTGTGCTGTCCCAGCCCCTGGCTGTGCTTGAGTCCTTCTGGGCTTGTGGCTGGGGAGATGATCTGCAGCACAGCTGCTCCTTTGGTCTCCTCTGTGGGGAGCATCGCTGTATTGACCATGTAGGAAATAGAACATGGATTACATTTAAAAAAAAAAAAAAGGTAATTAAGTACCCGTGCGTTTTCAACTTTCACGTAGCTCACTCAAATGATAAAAATTAAAAAATGTCTCTGCATCACTTGCACAGTGTTTGGTTTCCTTAAGTAGAGCAGTAGCAGTTTATTAAAAACATCGTCACAACAAGGCTGGGGGGTTTGGGGTGTTTGGTGGCTTTTTTCCACGTGTGTTTTTTTTCTTCTGGTTGACTCTTGAAGTGAGCGATACAAGGGGCTTAATGGCACTTTCAGGGGAGAGGAGAAACAAATTAAAAACCAGAATGCAATGAATTAAATGGATGTGTGCATTTCAGAACTGACATGGCCTCAATCTAGCTGATCATTCTTTTACCTGTGTATGTGTATACACGTACACAGTTTTCTGTTTATTTACATATGCAAGACAGGGTTGGCGACCAGATTCCACCTGCAATGACAAGTGCTGTTTTTCCCTGTCTGTGTTTTCAGATCCTTGGCAGGTGTTGCCCAGGCTTTGCCCTACTCAGAATTAGCTCTGGTGTGGAAAAGTAGGAGCCAGTTGAAATACTGCTGTGTTTTTCTGTTATTTTTTTCACTTTCCATGTACTTTCTTTTTCCTTTTATTTTGATGTGTCTAGAGGCCTTCAGAACGGAGAGCAAGTACGAGCAGCAGCTTGGAGCAGCCTTCTGACTGTGGCCAGGGCAGGAGCTATGCCATGCTGGCCACAAAACTTATCTGCAGTAACATTGCTTCTAACCTACTAATGCTGTCTTTGCTTTTGTTTAAGATAGAGATGTTGTTGTATTTTCAACAGGGCAATATGAAATTCCTAGTTCACAAATAGATTGTATTTTTCCTGAAGGCAATGGAGTAAGGTTGTGATGTGTTTTATCTCCTCTAGGTAGTTTAAGTAGATAAAAAAGCAGGAGGCAGCTTAAATTCAGTGTGATCTTTTTGCTTTGCTGTTGGAACACGAGAGGCCCTTTACTGACAAAGACGACTGCTGCAGTTCAGGGACTCTCGGTGTAACTTACGGTCGTAGTTTTTGGTGTCTCCCCCAGTGCTGAAGAGACCTGTGAAACAGCAGGTTGGCTGAGGGAGGGGGCTGAGGGTCTTACCCCTCCCTTGAGGGACAGTACTCGAAGGTAGAAGCAGCGGCTGTGGGATGTAAACTCCAAACATTTGTATTGTGTGCAGGAGAGGGATTAAAAATCCAACAGGCTAATGGAAGAAATGCCATGATGGAGACAATGAGGAAAAGATGGAAATGCTCAGACCCTTTTTTTTTTTTTTTTTGTTTGCATTAACGCTGCAGAAATAATTCTGATGCACTGGGCTGGCTTTTACCTTTAGTTCTCATCAAGCTCATTGCCCATCTGCACTGCGTGACTGGACTGTGTGTGGCTCAGGAGCAACATGAGCAGCTACAAACAGTGTAAAACCGTTACTGGATGGGATGTTGATGGGTAAAAGAACTCTGCAGGAGGATTCTAGCTAAAGAGTTATAGCTAAAGGGAATACAGCTGAAATGTAGTCTTTCAGGATCTCTGTGTGGCAGGGAAGATGAGTTGTGAATAATTAAAACAGTAAAAGTGATGAAGAGAGTGACAGTGAGGGAAGTGAAGAGGTACGAGGTGTAAAAAAACTAGAACTGACATGCAGTAATGAACTCTAAGAGAGGAAAATAGATTAACTCCAGGCAAATATTAGTGGGAAAAAGTTTATATACTTGTATAAAGATTACAGATAAGCAATTAAAAAAAAAATATATCATTTATTGAGAATGTAATTTTAAAATTGAGAACATTCGACTTTCAGATTAACGTAGACATACAACCTCCAAATGAGCAATACTATATTCTGCTCCCCACAACTTCTGCAAACCAGTGCTTCCCATCAGGCAGCTGGAGGCTGGCTGGGACTCCCTCCTTGGTTCAGGCAGAATTGCATTGAGACTTTTCTTCTCTGGTTTATAAAAATAAAGACATTCTTCTTTTGTGTAATGCTAGCACAAAGGAAAATATTTTCTCACAATAAGAGTTGACTTGTGTGGTGTTCCTGAGAAAAATCTTGCTGTCCTGTTTTCCCCTTTCACTGGGGTTCTTGCCTTCCTAGGCTGATGTGCAAAACAATGAAAAATTTCCAGTCTATACCATCCTGTAAAGCTGTGTCCATCTGTCCATATCCATGGTCTGCCTTCATGGAGCCACGGGCTGCAATAAATCACCCCTGCGGACTGGTTACCAAGAGGGTTTATTCTCCCCGGCAGCTGTGACAAGTCAATAGCATTTCTAACAGGACTTCACGTTTTACTCTTCTGTCAAAGTCCAGCAGAACTTCTCAAGCAGCAGCAGAGTTCTGCTTCCTTACCTTCGTCCTCAGAGATGACCTGTACAAGCTCGTGATCTCCAGCTGCGTCTGTCTCAAGGTTGTGCTTCAGTGACACTCTCTGGATGACAGCGGGAGCTTTGTCTTGGCTAGTTAGCTGGAAAGATAAGAGTTTCAATGAGAAATTCTGCTTATGCACTCTGTG